TCATTGTGTCTACAAGCGTATTAAAGCATGGCAGAATTTGTATATTTAGCCTCCTCCCTAATGATTATTATCTGCGCATTGAGTTATGCTATCAAATCGGGCATTTTTCCGAGACAATCTGGTTGACCTTGGAACTACGTTGATTGCGCTTACTGCAGAGCAAATGGTGGCGGACGAAGTGGTACAGATGAATGAGTACACAAAGAAGAGCAATTTTCAGGCAAAGGAGCTGAATGCGAAAATAACCACTGAGAAGCTGAAGGCATGTCAATTGTGCAGTATTAGAAGTTATAAGTTGAGTTTAGTTTATAGAAAGATAATGGAGAACTTTACTTCACTTCGGGACGATTTGGGGCTGTGTTCTTGTTGCCAGGTGCATCGGAACCACATAAGACCGATGCGGATATGTCGGAAGCGCCAAGCCACACTGATTAGAAATGAACTATATCTTAAATAAGACCGATAATCATTCTCAAATATAATCCATGTGAAGATGTAAAAATTCTGGGGGATTGTTTTCTAAAAGTTAGTGTGTGTTCGTGTGAAAATTATGAAAAAAAAGCAAATAAATCAGTTGTTGAAACATCTGGTACTTTGGCTTGTGTTTTTCAATCTTCCAGCTTCACATTACTCCTATGATCAACACAAAAACGAAATTACAGAAAATGTTCAAACTCTTTTTCCACGACTCTACAAAAGAACAGTAACAATATGACAACGGGGGATAACAAAACACTAACAGTGAGTGATAAAGAATGTTCTGAGCAACATATAATTCATATTTCAACAAGGATAAAAAACGCGCAAATAAATGCCAAATTGTGCCCAGCTTCCACTGCATATCTGACCCAAGCAAAAACTGAGAGAGGAACTCACAACGTGGAACCCATAAAAATCTCCGCCTTACGAGCATATCTCCCCACTTTAAGACAATATCACAGAGCTGACCAAATAGATTGATCTGCGTGAAAGCCACAACACATTATAGCAACGTGATGACAAGAGATACAGACAGCCATGAATAAAAAAAACCGCTTTTAAAGCAATCGCTTACAAGCTAACAAATTTTCGAAAGATTTTCTTCTTTCCCATTTCCAAAAAATATGGATTAATAGTGAGGAAAGTGCTCATCTATTTCTGCTGCCCAAGCTTCATAGCCGCCGCGAATGTCGCGTATGCGGAGAGGTTTGAGTTTTTCCTTTAGGATTTGTACCGCAATTTGAGAATCATTGCCTCGGTGACAGATCACAAAGACTGCAATAGTTGAATTTTAGAAATGTATCAAAATATTCTAAAAGGATAGGTTCCCAGCTTTCCGCACCTTCTTCAGGACTGTCGTCAACACAATTGAGACCTAACTTCTCCCGGATACGCGACGGGTCAGATTGGCGCAATTCGTCCAAAGTGACATCTACAAGAAGATGTGTAGTAGCGGAACTGCAACTTCAGCCACAAACCTACTTTTAGCTTCCTTCAACGAAGCAATTCTAAATTCATGAGGAGGTCGTGTGTCCACTAGAACCGATTTGTGATCAGAGCTTCTGAGAGTGGAATATTCGAAAGGTGAGATTCTGTCAGTCTGCTCTAACAACTCCAAGTTTGGCACCTGAATATCAAATGTTATCGTACAAAAATATGTTGATCATACACGAATACTTTGCCTTGTCACATGCTCGCAGTCCGCAAAAATCTTCGTAATCGATAAGTGTGGTTATAGACGGATGGTCACCACAAACGATACAGTCTTTATTACGCGGTCGAATAGTGATAGTTCGTGACTTCCCAAGTTTCCCATCAAACAAGAATAATTTTGAAGAAAAGCTAGCTGAAAATATTAACATTATTATTATTCAAAAAAACTTATTCGCTCAGCAAACTAACGCTCAAGCTTTGCTGCAATTTTGAGAACTTCAAGTGCTTGTAGGCTACCAATAACTCCTACAACTGGCCCGAGAACACCGCCTTCACTGCAGTTGGTAACATGTGAAGGCTTTACAGGAGTTGGGAAAAGACATCGATAGCATGGCCCTCTCTACAAAAACAACAAACGTTTGAGTACATAGATACAACAGCAAATTCGCAGCTCTATCATTTGACCGTCTTTCAACTTCTTCTCGAGTAAATTAGTTACATTTTGAAAGTGAAAACGGAAAATTATCTAATCCAATGATTTAATGTACGAAAGAAAAGGCAGGTCTTCGTTCTCACCTCTCCCGCTGCGTTGACATAATTGTAGACGGTTAATTGACCTTCCCATCTCAACGCACTGCCACTGACCAAAGGTTTTTTAAGAATAACACATGCATCATTGACAAGATACCTGAAGATCTGCATTCCTACTAGTTACCTCTCCAATGCGATGTAAACAAGCATGCACTGTTCTGACAATAAAATCATCATCTATGAGTAAGAGAAGGGAAAGCTTCTTAAGGAACATTTGCTGCTGTTCGAAACTGCTTTATAACAAAGAGTCAAAGTAGTGAGAATAAGGGAAGCAGAAGGGACTATGGAGTTGTTCTGTCACATCCCATGCTAACGATTCTAGAAAAATGTAATGATACAGTGATAAGAGAAACTGCGTCTAGACTTGGGCTACATGAATAAAATAAATAAATGAATATACATGTAACCACCTTGTTGCAGGATTATCCGAGCAATCGACCACAATGTTGTACGGTCTTACCACATTCAAAGCACAATCCTTGTTCAGTAGAAAATTGTGGGTGGTCACGTTGACAGTACTGTTAAGCCTGAAAAAAAAGGTAATAATTGCCAAAGACCAAATGCTCTCATTGGATGCATGTTCAGACACCTACTCATTGATAAACTGTTTCAATGAGTCAACCTTCGACATTCCAATTGATTTTTCTTTGTGGGCTACCTGCCTATGAAGATTATCCACAGCGATCTGAATTCAATTTTTAAAGCATGATTTTTTT